TTCCTATTCACTCATTTCAGATATTATGCCTCTGCATAGGTTACTCTATATGTTACTGAGTAACATCCTGTCAGCTTGTCAATATCCGTGATGTATCAATGCACAACTACACTAATAAAGCTTGTTTAATTTTGGGAATTGTAGCCATTAATTTGGATGAAATATATATGAAATATGGACATCTTCTGGACATACAACCAACATACATTCTGGAGATAAGTGCCCCTTAGGGACAAAGTGATTTTAGCACAATCTGTTTTGTGCAATTCACTTGTGAGTGCCTGTCTTAAGCATTTGTTTTTATACATTTTGTTACATTAAATACTACAATATAAGTGTCCTTGTATTTTCCTCTTTTCCTTTTATACATACATATTTTTAGTGGTTCTATATATATTTAAAGTAATACTATAGGGTCAGGAACACAAATGTTCATGCCTGACCATATAGTGTTAAACTAATTATTTAGGTGCTTCTCCACTTCCCCCCTTTATCCCTTAAAAAAACAGATAATGTCAGTCAATCCAATGCTTTCCCATAGGAAAGAATTAGATTGGTACAGAATGTTAATTCTAATGATCTCAGCCAAGGAGGCCGGGTGGGTGGAGTGGGCGAGGAGCCAAACTCAGCTCTGGCCAATCAGCGAGAGATTAATTTAACCCATGCATCTTTATGGGAAAAGTTCAGCAGAGATATTTAACATCAGGGCTCCACGTTGTGCAGCATTGCCCCAGAAAGTACCTTTAGTGACTGTCTGAGTGACTGCCACTGGAAGTGTCCCTAAGGAGCAATGTAAACACTGCCTTTTCCCTCAAAAGGCAGTGTTTATATGAAAATGCCTGAAGGGACTGACTATACTCACCAGAATAACTACATTAAGCTGTAGTTGTTCTGGTGACTATAGTGTCCCTTTAAGGTAAACACAGCACATGTTGATTGCATTCAAGGCTGGCGCTACCATAATATGGAACAGTTAGTAATCTTAGGGCACACTGGCCCTGGGGTGAAAGATCCAACTGACCGGCAGGAGGAGAGCGCACTGCACAGCTCTTAATGTAGTGTGACCGTGCACGAACCTAGGGGGAGGAGCTTCTCTAACCTCTACCCCGGTGTCACAGGAAGTGCTCACTGAGAGCATAGAACTGCTTCATGTGAGACCATTGCTGAAGCTCCTTTCCACTGATGCAATGAGACACATTGTGGGGCCTGGGGGAATGAGGCACATTGGGGGGGAGCTGGGGGAATGAGACACATGGGGGGAGCCGGGGCAATGAGACAGATTTAAGGGAGCCTTGAGAATGACACACATAGTTGGGAGCTGGGGCAATGAGACACATTGAGGGAAGCTGGGGGAATGAGACACATTTGGAGGGAGCTGGGGGAATGATACACATTTGGGTGGTGCTGGGGGAATGAGACACATTTGGGGGAGAAGCGGGGGGAATGAGGCACATTGGGGGGAGCTGGGGCAAGGAGACACATTAGGGGGTGCTGGTGTATTAAGATGCATAGGGGGCTGAAGGAATGGGTCATATGAATGGAGAGACCAGGGGAGGAAATAAGACACATGGATGGGCAGGGAGGAATGACACACATGGTGGGACTGGATGGAGAAAAATGAGACACATGGTGGGGCTATGGAGGAGACACAAAGAGACATAGAGAGGCTGGGAGAGAAAGAGATAAGATGCCGGGATAAAGATACAAGGTGCTAGGGTAAAGAGACAGTGGGGGCTAGCTGGCAGGGCCAGATTAACATAGTGGCTGATAGAGTTGCAAAACCCTTGCTCAGGCCCTGACTGCACTTGAACTTTAGTATGTTAACACTGGTAAACAATTTCCACATAGATTTAATTTTGCTCCAGAGATACTTTTTTGTTTGATAGAAAACTAAATGATACATATTTTGATAAAGAGACACTGAAAGCACCATAACAACTGCAACCTGTTGCTTTAAAATAGTGCTCGGAGACTATAGTTGCAGTCACTTCTTGCAGCCAAATAATAGTTAATAATAATAACCCCCACAATCAGCTGAAAGGAATATGTTGCTTGTAGTATACCTTTAAGATAAAATTACATTTTTTTCATATGGCAAAAAATTGTCTTCAGGATTATTTCCCAGTTGTAAAGAAATATCTGTTCTGCAGACTTTATAAATATCTTCCATATATTTTCAAGTCATTTTATTGTTTTTGTGCATTTTAATAAATCATAATAGCACACACATAATGTGCTTCTTGCGCTATAAACTATTTTGTTGCAATTGATTGAAGCAGAATTGATAAACCACATGCAGCAACTTAGATGTAAATCACTTTGCAAATACATTTGTATCTATTTTCAATCCCCCAACAGGTGAATGTTAAATAGTAAATGCTACAGATGAGATTACGGCTGCCATTTAAAACAGCAAAGAAAACAACAGTTTTACACAGTAGAGAAAAATATTCCTTTTGTGAAATGATGCTGTAATTTAACAGATGACAACATATATTGTAGATTATGTTCAAAAGCTTCACATAAAATGAGCCTTAAGTGCGAGTATTTACTGTCAGGGTTATTCGGTATACCAAGAATAGTTGAGAGATTACCATTTAATTGCAAATTTAAGGTCAAAAAAGCTAAAGTGAAAAATTCTCCAGCTAAATTAATTTTACAGTTTATTTATGCTGGGCTAAAATTTGAAACAAACACAACCAATAGGGTAAGTGGCGCTAAACAGTAAATAGATAATAAATAGCAAATCCCAGTGCATCTAAAACCAAACCAGTGTTTTAGTCACCTTAAAAAACACTTACATTAGTACAAATGGATACAGAAAAAGGTGGTTTTGCGCACACAATGGATGCTTGATAAAATAATCTGTAACATAAACAGCTATCATAGGGCAATATGCATAAACCAATAACTGTACTTGTACATGTACAATACAAGTTAATTTCTCATTGCCCACTTAATCTGCAGATCAGCAA